AAAAAAAAAAAAGATAGGCCCTAAAAACTGGAGGAAAAAGATACGGCAAAAAACCCCAGGAGCTCTGACCGAACAACCAGGGTGCCTGAGAAGGGATTCCAGAGCTGGATTTCAGGTGGCCGAGGGGGCGGGACCTGGTGTGCATGAAGCTTGCCCGTGACCGCTCCTTGGGGTCCGCATCCCGGTTCTCCGTCCTGCAGGAAGAGTCCCCCTGAATTTCCCACCGGCCACAGGGAGGAAGGAAGGGGGGAGGCCCACAGCCCACAGCTCCCGAGCTGCACGGCCCTGCCGTCTGTGATATCGCAGCAGATCCTGACCCCTCGTCACCCTGGAAGCCCCGCAGAAGTGACAGTGGTGCGGACGTGGCATTGTCTCATGGAGGCCGAGGAGGCCTCAGGGACCCACAAAGGCCACTTCCCCAGAATCTGCCCTGTGGGGCTCGAGCCACGGGGGCAGCCAGGTGTGAGACAGAAACCACTTCCTTGAGGGGAGATGGGTCTGGTGTTTTCCATTTTCTGCTTTGTGCACCTCTGGGTTCCACGAAGACTAAATATTAAGCCCAAGTTAAGCCCTCCGTGGCAGACAGGGCTCCAGGCCCAGGCAAAGGGGGCCACGCGGCCCAGTACTGCCTTCTGGGCATCAGGAGACAACGAGTGTGGACCTTTGGGGTTGTCATCCTTGGCACCTGGGCTTCGTGGAAGCATCTTCCAAGCCCCACCGCGATCTCTGCCGGCAGGCCCCTGGGGGACAGCTCCCCAAGCCAGCCAGGGGGAGAATCGGAAAAACCCCAGTGATTTTTCGGAAGGAACATCACTTGCTGAGCACTCGGCAGAGGGGCTGGAGGGCCAGGGAGGGGCCAAGTCGAGCTGTCAGTCCCTCTTGGCTCCAGCCCAGCAGGAATTAGGCTGTTCCCTCTAGACGGTCAGAGCCGCCAGCCCAGCCAGGGCACTTTGAGGAGGAGAAAAGGTCGGACGCTCAGACAGAGGGTCAGGAGTGTGGATTTCCCCTTTCCAGCATGGCAGAGGGGAGGAGCGCTGCCGGTGGGAGCATCCGGCCGGCGATGCCGTAAGGTCCTCGAAGGCCAGGT